TTAAATTGCTATGATGCTGGTCATTTAATTTCCTTTCCAAAAAACAAAATTAGCTGTCCTTTCCAAAAGCAGTAGGCCATAAGCACTCTCAAACTGAGAGCTCTAAAGATACTATTCAAATAGCCCTTATGAGATTGGACGCATCAGATGTTCAGACATCCACATTATTATTCATCAGTAATCTTTGTTCTAACTCCCCTCTTTGTTTTCACTTTTTTTAAGTAGTTAAAATGATTGACAGATGTTTTATTACCATAAGGTCTGATGGCACCTTTGCTCCCTTAAAACAGGTGCAGAGCAGAAAACAAGTTTTTGTCTTCCAATGAAGTACAGTTCCAGATATTCAAAGCTTTTTAGGTAGAACACCTGGGGACACCAGGCCGTAGAACACAAAGTACTCACAGACTCACGTCTGTCCCTGGAGCTACTCACCACAAGCGCATCAGCCACAGAAGCATAAAGTAGACCATGCAAAGAAACTTAAAAACTCAGGGAAGCAGATTTTGCTTACATATACATTTAAAAATACTTTCTTGTTCACATAATTACCAACACTGTACATATTCATTACTATTTATAACACTGAGAAACTGGAGAACCTCTACTTCCTTATTAATAGGAAATTATTTAAATTGGGTTATACTCTACTCAAATAACAGAAGAGTATATTGCCATTAAAATTAGTTATTCTAATTTGGCACAAGAATATGTGGATGAATTGATCAGTTCAAGCCAGGTTGCAATATGATATTAGAGGTGGGTCCATTTATTTTTGTTAATTTGTTTGTTCTTTAATAAATGTATGTACACTTGTATAATAAATGTGTGTTCAGACCCACCCTTGCATCAGGTCCTAAAAAGTGACCATATGCCAAATGCTAGTAGTGATCATCAGCACGGACAGCAACCTCCACCTTTCTAACAAATAATCATCATGAACTCACAAGCAGGAAAAACATTACATGTTTTGTTGTTTGTTGTTGGTTATTAATCAAGCGCCTATTGGGCTAGGGTAGCTGGTATTATAAAAGTGACTTTTATTTGACCATACCCTATGAGCTCAAATAATGAAACTGGCCTTCAATTTAAGATTTCTTGGAGCACAGGGCGGAGGTAGTAGGAATGGGAGAGTACAGAATACATTGGGTCTTCACTGTCCTTTTCAGGTAAGATGAACAATGCTGACCTAGCAGTTACCATGTATCAAGTACCATCCTAAGCACTTGCACTCAGGTCCTGTAGGTGCTACTGTAATGTACAATGTTAGAGAGAACTGAGCCTCGGAACATTTTAATGATTGCCCAGTTACTCAATTTCTAAGTGGTAGAGGCAAGATTTAAATGCAGCCAATAGCCTGGCCCCAGGATCTGTGCTCATAAAAGCACAAAAAGATCATAGTTACTATTAATTACTTCAGTAATGCTGCTGTGAAAATGTAACAGGCTGTCTAAAAGGCTTAGGTAGTATAAGGAAGGAAATTACTATTTTATGTATCAATAGCTCATACTAAAAATGGCATTAATTCTTACTGTTATAATTGGTTGTAGTTCGAGGAACATTAAGAAAGGAGTCTAAATGTATAATATCAACAATGCTAAGCCCTGGAGAGAGGCTCTGGGATGGCTGAGAGAGAAGTTGCAAGGGTTAGAAAGGTGGAGGGACTGCAAAGAAACCAATATAGGTATTGCAGTCTATGGCTGACCTTGTTATTTCATTTAAATTGTTCTAAAAGACAAAGTCATACCCTGGTTTCTGTTCAACTGTGTAAATCTTTCACCTTTTAAAAGCTAGAGTCAATTTTTGAAGAGTATTCTGCTATTACAAAAAGAAGAAAAGTGAGTCTTTTTAAATTAGAGAACCCATCAACACAGAAAGTGTCTTCAGTAGTTTGCTTTAGTTATTAACAAACTTGTTCAGGTTTCCAGGCTTGGCAAGATATTTAGATTTCCCTTAAATATGTAAGTAGGTTACGTGTTGTTGTGGTTTGGGGTTTTTGCAAGGGGAACAATATATGCAAGACACATTTTATAATAGTATTTTGTAATGAATCCAAGAATCATATACAAAAAGTACAGGAAGTTTGTCCACACACATAAACATTAAAGACTCTAGCTGAAGGCCTAGATCCTAATACACTGTATGAGTCCAGCTGAAAACCTGGAGCTTATAACAATGCCTCCCACAAGTCCAGCTGAGGCCTAGGGCCCACAACAATGTCTTATGCAGGTCCACTAAATGGATCTGTGCTAGAAAGGCCCAAAGGTCAGTGGTGGAAGCTAGAAAGTCTATGCTAGTGGGATGAAGGATCTGTGCTATCAGACGGAGGGATCTGAACTGGAGACAGGAAGCAACACTCAAGATAAGCATCAGAGCTCCCACAAAAGTACCACAGCTATTCTCAGCAGCAGTGAAGTCCCGAGCTCCTCCAGCAATGGGGAAAGATGATTTCTCACCAAGAAAGCCAACGAGACAAGCTTTTCCATGAGGCTGAGCAGTGCACCATCTTCCCCTCCAGAGCCAGGAAGAGATACTCAAGATGAGGACCAGAGTTCCTCCAAAGTTCATCGGGAAAGCCAGCATGACAAGGTCGTCCAGCAGAACGACCCACAAGCCTCCAACAGCTTCTCCGAACAGCATCCCTAACAGCGTACCTGACAGCTGCTCCTGTTCTGCCTTTATGCTGCTGGCAACAATCCTCAGGTGGGCCTCCTGCACCCAGCACCATGCTAGTTTAATTCAGCTGGGTGTAATAAGTTGACCACCTATTAGAAATCCACTACACATGTTTACATCTTTAATCTCCTGCATGTTTTTCTCTTTTTTCAACTACAGAGAATTCAAGTGGATGGTTATGCCACAGTCCTGGGGCAGGGGGCCAAAACTGCTATCTTAAAAATAAGTAAAACTGACTGTACATTCTTTCTCTTTCTTGGTAAATGTTTTCGTGTTTGGGAAGCTTCTTGAATGAGCTTTTAGACAGAAAAGGTCTCTGTGTTAATCTGAATTAATGAGGTTGAGGATTAAAAGAAGTAATCTCTGTATGATACACACAAAACAGGGTTTTAGTGTATTCATGGAAACATCAGAGGCAGAGAGTTGGGCTTGTGAACTCAACAACTAAGAGACAAGGAAATTTCTATAAGAGGAGAGAAGCTCGGGGAACATAATGACAGGTCAGAATTAGAGGGAAAGGAGGGACAGAAAGTGACAGAAAAGAGTAAGCTATATCAGACCTACTTATGTGAAGGACAAAGAACTTCACAAGGAGTTTTCAGAGCAACAATTTGATATTGAGTCTCATCCTGGGCACTAATTCCCCTTGTTCTATCATAATATCTGTAATTGATTCTGTTGGATGATAGTACTTCGAGTAGTGAGCATTACAGGAGGGCGGGCATAGGAACCAGACTGTAAAGAAGAGCTGGTGGGTAAAGCCCCCCAGATGCAGGAGAGGAGCTTCTGTAGTCAAGGCAAAGGTGGAGAGAGCAGAGGTAGCTTAGGAAGTGTCTGCCCCCTTGGAGGCAATGTAATGCAAGCAGGTGAACACATGACTGGAGGTGTCTGCTGTTGGATCTCCGCTCCATGCCAACTCCTGGGAGCAGCTTATCTGAGAGCAGCACATGTCAAGAATCATTGTCTTATTTGATTTTTCATAGCACTTATCACTGTTCATTTGTTTATTTTATAACTTTGTCATCACATTATAGTAGCAATCCTCATTTGAAGTTAACTTTCCTTCTCTGGGGACTTCAGGCAATGTCTAGAGACATTTTGGTGCCATCCCTGAGGGATGTTCTGTTAGCAGCTGGTCGGTAAAGGCCAAGCATGCTGTCCAACACCTGAGAGGGCGCAGGGCAGCCTCCCACACACAGCAGTTGCCTAGCAGCAAGTGTCAGCAATGCCAAGGTTGAGAAACACAGAAAACACATAGAAGAAAGAGACTTTGCCTTGTTCCTGCTGTACCTCCAGCGTTTATAATGAGTCCTGGCACAGCACAGATAATTTTTATTAGCTGAAGTGTTAATCATTTAAGACCTCATTTTTGATGTCTTGAAATAAGTAAAAGCTTCACTTCACCCCATATTGGCTTCTCGTTGTATGTATCTGTCTCTCCAGTTTGTACCAGAGAAATATGAACCATGCAAGATCTCTTTCCTATGCATCCAGACCAAAATACCTCTCTCCAGCTCACTTCTGTCTAAAGATCCCTCTCATGTAATCTGTTCAGACTTGACCATGGGATTGGGGCAATGGAAAGGTTGTAATAAATGTATCACCTACGTGAGATGGAGGGTTTGCAAAGACAATTCTGTCCACTTGGACCATCAAATTCTTGGATGAGGGGAAGGAGCACCTGGCAGGTGAAGGAGCACCTGGCAGGTGAAGGAACACCTGGCAGGTGAAGGAACACCTGGCAGGCATATCCATAGCTTATCAGAGCTGAGTACTCATCCCTCAATGAGTTCTAATTGAGGGCTCACACTCATCAACCCCTAAATCCCTCTGACCTGAGCATCCAGCCATCAGCCAACGTCATATTTCTTCCTGGTCCCAAATCACTCTTCTAAGAACATTGCCTGTACTTCAACCTTACTGAACTTTAAAAGGAAATTAGCAGCAGCCTAGCACAATTCAGCACCCTCTTGCCTCCCACTTTTCAAACATCAACGAATCACGTTTCAGAATTGCAAACAATTGGGCCTGAAAGTAGAGACCTGTAAGAAAGTGTAAGATAAAGTCCAAAACTAAAACACAGCTATTTTTAAAACCTTTCATAGGTATCCTCCCATTCATAAAATCAATATTATAATGAAAAGAAATAAAAATATATGATTTTGTTTTTGTAGTTACTTGGGAAAACAACATAGTGATTGAAGAAAGACTTTTGGACCAAAGATTAGAGGATCTGGCCAGGCTGAAGGAGATCTTGCCCCACATGGCTCAGGGCACAGCTGACCAGTTTGCGGGGCTAAGACACCCTCCCAGGCCCCTTGGGTTACCTGATCTTCTTGTTGGTCCCACAGACACATGTGTAGAACCTGGCCCAATTCTTGCCGCTGTTGCTGCAGGTGCTTGTCCAGCTGCCTTCTCCTGTCTTGCAGAAGCTCAAGGATGCTGTCAATCTTCAGGCAACTGCTCTGAGCTCCCTGAGTCAGTTCTGAATTCACATAAGATCCATCACACTTGAATTTTTCTATGAAGTCAGTGAGTTGTTGGCTCTTGTTTAAAAGGGCTAGAGATCGTTCTAGGAGTTCTGGAAGGAAACAAGAACAATGAGATGAGCAAGCCTTAATATTTAGATCCTTTATATAATCTAATATATATAAGAATATAATTTACTCAAGGGGTGATCAAAATATGGCATATACATTTAAGGTTCTTTAAGTAAAAGACACGTTGCTATTCATCCCCAACAAAATACTCTCCTTGGTTTCTCAGACAATTACCCCACTGTTTTTGCCCCTTTGCAAACAGTCCTGGAGTATTTGTGAGTCTTCATGAGATACAATAAAAAAAAAAAAAATGTGGTGAATGCCACTGCCAGCCACCTCCAAGGGAAATGCAGGACAGTAAATGCATCACAGAGTGTCCTCATCTGCCTTATTCCCCAGGACTGGCACCATGCCATCCTACACTCTTTCTGAAAGTCAACATGAACAAGAAAACAAATATTTTGAATTGATTCAGGACATCCAGGGAGCCACACTAAAGATAAGAGAGAAGACTTCTAGAACTGCTTCAGAAAGTGGCAACAACACTGGGATAAACATTTTTGAAGGAGGGGGAGTTTTTTTTTTTTTCATTATCATTTTTAAATAATACAAAATAGAAGAGCTGGAGATAGCTCAGCGGACTAAGGGCCTGCTTAGGCAAGCACAGCGGCCAGGGTTCAATCTCCAGCACCACACGCAGTGCTGGCCCTGCCTCTGGATGCACTGACCCAGTGACTGAGTATGGACATGGTAGTGCATGCTTGTAACCCCAGCACTGTGGAGGCTGAAAACAGGAGGATCACTAAGAGTGATCACTATGTAGTGAGACCTTGCACAAAACATACCAAAAAAAATTTAAAAAGAAAGAAAAATACAAAACAGTAATAGAAAAGAAAACATTAGAAACAACACAAGATTTCACTAAGTGAAGTAACAGGAATTCATTCAACATTGGTTGCTGCAGGGAGTGGGGGCCACGGGAACCTGAACAGACCCAGAGCGTGGGCCTGGCGAGTGAGTGAGATGACTGAGGACCGCAGGATCCTGAACAGACCCAGAGCGCAGGCCCAGCGAGTGAGTGAGACGACCCAGGGCCACGGATCCTCATTTGACCCAGGCTGCAGGCCCAGCATGGAACCCTTGAGCAGAACTCTCTGTAAAAAGGCTAGAGGCAAGACCCACCCAGCTGATTCAGGAGCAGAACATCTTGCCAGAGAGACACAAAGGGTTCAACTCTAATGCCTGCGGGAGAAA